TGAGACGGAGAAGATGAAGCGGGCCATGGCGGCTGTTCTGCTAGTATTATTATCGTTACTCGTTCATTCAAATGCCGAAGAAGAAGCTTTCGATGTTCGCCAACACCTTTCTACTGTTTCCAGGTTTCTCTCTCACAAAATCAAAATTTCCCATTAATTTGACTACGAATTTATTACATTTTTATTTATATTTAAGTGTGTTCTCCGTGAATCGATATGTCGTTACTAGATTTTTGGTTCTTATTGCTTAGCCGTCTGCTTGGTTAAGAGTAAATTGCAGAAAGTGTTTCAAGTTGCAATTTTTTTCCGTATTTAAATGAAAGAATTAATATTTTCAAGCAATAGAGGGTAGAATTATCATGGAAAGAGAAATAACTAATGGGTTTTTGTTGCAGATACGGTGTCGTTAAAGGCATTGCGGACAGTTCATTTGTTCCATCGAAGATTCCAAATGGATGTACTCCTATCCACTTAAATCTTGTGGTAAATTTATTTTTTGATATTGTCATTGCCAATTTCCAAATTTCAATTTGTGTTTCAACTGTTTGTGTGTTCAGTGTTTGTGTTGGCTTTCCACAAGTTAAATTATTTTTAAATGACTGAACTAGAGAGTTTCACATTTATGGCTCCTGATGCAACTTCTATTATCAGGCAAGGCATGGAACTCGTTATCCTACCAAAAAGCGGATTAAAGAGTTGAACAACTTGGCAGATCGTCTGGAGGTGTTACTGAGAGAAGCTGGAGAACAGAACCTGTCTTTGGAAAAACTTCCTTGTTGGTTAAAGGGTTGTTGGATATATCCTTGGAAAGGAAAACTGAAAGGTGGAGAATTAATTATCGAAGGAGAGGATGAACTCTATGATCTTGGGAACAGGACTCGAGCGAGATTTCCAAATTTGTTTAATGATGATTACCATCCAGATGTTTACACAATAAAGGCAACACAGGTAAGATTTGTTTGTTCTAGGGCTTTTTTCTTCTCTTTTTGTTTAGAGCATTCAAGTATGATTTCCCTATATGTGATAAATTATGGCAATGATCAGCCTTGTTTTATAGGTTGTTGGTAACTTTGAATATGGCATAATAGTTAGTCATCTATTAACTTGGCAATTTTCTATTGCAATGTTTGGAGTAATTCTTATTTTCAAGTTGAGACTTTAAGCTGATCGAAGTTAATTATATCTCTCTGGCTGTGAATATCAGCCTCAGATTTTTGTCAATTCTGTTTGAACCTTTCATCTTATGCATCTTTTTTATAATGTGATAGGTCCCTCGGGCATCAGCCAGTGCTGTGGCATTTGGCATGGGATTGTTTAGTGGGAAAGGAAGTCTTGGACCAGGGCGTCATCGAGCTTTTGCTGTAACCAGCGAAAGCAGTGCAAGTGATACAAAGCTAAGGTTTCATGATTGTTGCCAAAACTACAAGGTATTCTGCCGTCCTGATCTTTTCCCTTGACTTTTGAACACGTGCAACGCACACAATCTGATTACACTTTCTTAGTTGGTGGAATTGGGTGGAGCTGGACTGGGTTGCCATAACCCCTATTTTTATTGGTTTATCTGCAATTCTGTGCTGTATATGTTGGTTGACGAAGACTTTTATGCTTGTAGGCATTTAAGAAAAGTCAGGAGCCTGCTGTTGATAAGCTTAAGGAACCCGTTTATGATGAAATAACTTCTGGATTAAGAAGGCGCTACAGGTTGAATTTTACAAGGCAGGATACAACTTCTCTTTGGTTTCTGTGCAAACAGGTGATTGCTTTCTTTCTGTTTTCATACACAAACTCATTTTATTGCTCTCGTGGATTGAGCTTGTGAATTAATTATCCCTGTTATTGTCAAGATTAACCAAATTTCTTATAATATTCCATGATAATCAGGTTATTCTGTATAACATTCTTCGTTTGAACCTGAATATGATATATGAACGTATACAATAGGCCATGACTCCGATACTGTGAAGAGAACTAAAATGACTGAAACTAGTTACATGATGAATACTAGCCTTTTTGGCTTGTACATACATCTATTAATGGAGAGGGCACAACAAGTGAATTGGTGCTGAAATTGAATTACAAAAAAAAAATCTTTGAAGAATGCATTAGAGTAATTTGTCCACTTTGATGTGGTTTAGTAATATCAGTGAACACAGATTTACGTGATCTTGATGTTTTTTGTTAGTTTATTTACATGAAAAAATTCTCCTGTGTTTAGGTTTCTTTGCTGGAATGGACAGATGATTTGGAGGCCTTTATGTTAAAGGGGTATGGTAAATCAATAAACTATAGAATGGGAGTGCCCTTACTTCAAGATGTTAAGCAGTCCATGGAGCAGGCTATTAAGGCTGAAGAAGGTAACCCAATAGTTCGCAGTTATAACTGGATAATACTGTCACTGAGGACTATTAAACCTCATGGATATGTCAGTATCTATTTGGACTACACTTAAATGTGGAATTCTTTGCATTATGTAGTTGTGTGTAAGCTATATGACTTATGGTATTCCAATTCTCACTCACTCTCTCCCCCTCCCCTTTTCTTTGTAGGAACATGCTCCTGGCAGTTATGAGAAGGCGAGACTAAGGTTCGCACATGCAGAAACTGTCATTCCATTTTCATGCCTACTTGGACTTTTTCTTAATGGATCTGGTGAGTGATTTCTTCAGTAAATTCTTAATTTGGTTTGCATGATCTGGGTTTTTGTGCAGGTGGGAATCTAAATGCTTATGTATATGGGTTCTTCTATATTCTGTTCTCATAGTACGGGTTATGTTTTCTATGTTTCAGAATTTGAAAAAATACAGAGGGAAGAGGCATTGCCACACCCTCCAAAGCCTCCCCAGAAGAGAAATTGGAGGGGCAATACTGTGGCACCTTTTGGTGGGAATAACATGCTAGTTCTGTACAGTTGTCCAGCCAACACATCAAACAAGCACTTTGTGCAAGTGCTGCACAATGAACATCCCATTCCAATGCCAGTAAGCCCCATTTTTTACTTAATTTGAACTTTCTCGAACATTTTAGGATTCCAAACCTTGGTTTCACTTTTGAACTTAGAAGATTTCATGAAGAGCACAATTGGTACCGGATTACAAATTTCTTTTCATACATCTTTTTAATGGCGAATAATGGCCAGCTGTTTCAGTCGTAATGCCGTAGCTCTCTGTTTTTTTCCTCGTATTGAATTCTCAGATAATAATGTTTTGGTGTTTAGGGTTGTGATGGTACTGATTTCTGTCCATTTGATGCTTTTAAGGTACTGTTTCTTTCTACCCTACTCTCACATTTAATAGATATGATCATTCAGCTCCTTCTCATTTTACCATTTGTGTTTTTCCAGGAAAGAATAGTTAGACCTCATTTGGAGCATGACTATGATTATGTGTGCAATGAACAGACGTCCCACGATGAATTTTAGGGGCGTTTGGTATCCTATTCAAATAGGGAATTCAAAAACTTTGATTTTTCTTAAAAACAAGGAGTTCTTAAATCTATTTTTAAGATTCAAAAACTTGTTTGGTATGCAACTTGAAAATTGTTTTCAAATCTTAAAAATTTGAGAACTTGTGAGTTGTTAGAAAAAAACTGAAAAAACAGATATTTTTTGTTTTTAATAATTGGGGTGTTTTTTTAGTTGTTCTTAAGGTTGAATTTGTAAAAATAGGGCCACCAAATAGGTTTTCTTTGTTTTGGATTCAAATTCTGTTTTTGAATTTAAAAAGTTGGATTCAAGTTGAATACCAAACATGCCCTTAGTTTCTTCTTGTTTTCAAATGCGGAAGGGATAATTCTTGCACTTCCTTCAGTGACTTGGATTCACAGCAGCTCTTTCTTGTAGCAGACGTCTGTTTGGATTGATACAAAGGATATTCATGCCAATTTGTTGGATTGGAATCATAAATTGATTTACAAAAATTTCAAATAGAACACAGCTCCCAGTACCAATGCGATTTTTTACAAATAGAACACATCCAAAGAACATACGCACTTGAAGCAATTGAATACTGTTATATAATCATTTGGCTACTAAATACCCTAAAATCTAATGTTCCTTTCAAAGCACCGAACAACTGGGGAAATATGGGTGCCTTGATAAGAAAACATAAAAAATCATCCTACAGCAATATCTATGGGATAGTTGTTCTCATGAAAATACAAGTCACATGGACAAGAAAACAGAACAAGGCCTAGAAGAAAAACGAAAAAAAAAATGATTCAGTTAGAAGATAGGATGAGCATACCCATGAAACCCGAAGGATATGTCTTGTCAGCCCATCAACCAGAACATGTCGTTTGCATCAAAATGGAAATGACGTCATAGTAAGTGAGAGCATATTTCAATCTGTTTCGTAAGATAATGACCAAGGAAGGCATTCCCTGGACTTGTGAGGCCCAGATGAAGGCTTGGGCGCTTGAGGAAGAAAAATAAAAGAAGAATGTAAGGAGTAAAAATGGGAAATAAGGAGGATGCTTGCACAAGTATCAACATAAAAAGGAAGACAAAAATAAGATCTTCAACTTACAAAAGCACCGCCAAGTTTGTCAAGCATCCAATGCTTCGGGGCATTGAGCCTTTTCAAATGCTTCTTCAACCCTCTTGCCTGCAAAAGCCACAAGCATAAAGTTCAACAACCCAAATGACCCCATTTGTAAAAGAGAATATAACTCAGCCTGCCAAAAAAAAAAAAATCTTTTCGACTCTCTTGCTCTCAAATCTATACAGGAAATAACGTTATAACATCCAGAACCAAAACCAAGCAGCATAGCTGAAATTTGAGCTTATTTCACTTTTCAGGCAATGCAGAAAATCACGAAAACGGAATTTACAGTACAAAGCCGAAAGAGGTTAAAGACCCAACATGAAAATCTAGATCTGGGTATTACATATTATACGGATTTGAAAACGATAATAATAAGACGATTGGGAAAAAGAGAAATAGAAACGAGGAGATAAAAAAATTGCACAATGAAGAAAAAACAGGTGAGAGGGATGCAAGTACCATTTTGGGATTGTGAGCTTGACCTCCGGGAGTATCCGAGCCTCCGCAGCTATAGAGCTCTGCACACACTGCACAGAGAGAGAGGGGGACAGGGAGAGAGAGAGGGAGAGAGAGAGAGTAGCGCCTCCTAAAACCCTATAGAATTGGATTGCATGGTGTGCTTCAAGTGACCAACGGCTACTTGGGCCTTAACTTACTGCTCCACCTAAGCCCGTATCCGATTTTGGGCTGGCCCATTTTGGGTACTTAGCCACGCGGCGTTCAGAGACTGGGCCAGTTGCGCCACTGCCGACTTTGAAGCAGTATGGACCGCCAAAAAAAAAAATCAACACTTTATTTAAATGAGAATTGATCATTTCATTTCCCGATTATACCTTTCTTCAAGTTCTTAACGCAGAGAGACAAACTGAGACGGAGAAGATGAAGCGTGCCGTGGCGGCTGTTCTGCTAGTATTATTATCGCTACTCGTTCATTCAAATGCCGAAGAAGAAGCATTCGATGTTCGCCAACACCTTTCTACTGTTTGCAATTTTTTTCCATATTTAAATTAAAGAATTGATATTTTCAAGCAATAGAGGATAGAATTATCATGGAAAGAGAAATAACTAATGGGTTTTTGTTGCAGATACGGTGTCGTTAAAGGCATTGCGGACAGTTCATTTGTTCCATCGAAGATTCCAAATGGATGTACTCCTATCCACTTAAATCTTGTGGTAATTTATTTTTTTGATATTGTCATTGCCAATTTCCAAATTTCCATTTGTGTTTCAACTGTTTGTATGTTCAGTGTTTGTGTTTCAAACTTCAATTAGACAAAGAGGCAATAATAAATTTTGCTATCAGGAATTACTCAGATTTGTATGAACTTTGTGTTCGCGTGTGTAAGTATGCATGTATGTATTCTGGTTGCATATTTAGTTATCAGATGTGATTCTTTTTAAGCATGACTCCTACCCCGTTTGTTAAGATTAGCTTGCTGGCTTTCCACAAGTTACATTTATTTTTAAATGCCTGAACTAGAGAGTTTCACATTTATGGCTCCTGATGCAACTTCTATTATCAGGCAAGGCATGGAACTCGTTCTCCTACCAAAAAGCGGATTAAAGAGTTGGACAACTTCGCAACTCATCTGGAGGTGTTACTGAGAGAAGCTGAAGAACAGAACCTGTCTTTGGAAAAACTTCCTGGTTGGTTAAAGGGTTGGAAATCTCCTTGGAAAGGAAAACTGAAAGGTGGAGAATTAATTATCCAAGGAGAGGATGAACTCTATGATCTTGGGATCAGGACTCGAGCAAGATTTCCAAATTTGTTTAATGATGATTACCATCCAGATGTTTATGCAATAAAGGCAACACAGGTAAGATTTGTTTGTTCTAGGGCTTTTTTCTTCTCTTTTTGTTTAGAGCATTCAAGTATGTTTTTCCTATATGTGATGAATTATGGCCATGTTCAGCCTTGTTTTATAGGTTGTTGGTAACTTTGAATTTGGCATAATAGTCATCTATTAACTTGGAAATTTTCTATTGCAATGTTTGGAGTAATTCTTATTTTGAAGTTGAGACTTTAAGCTGATCGAAGTTAATTATATCTCTCTGGCTGTGAATATCAGCCTCAGATTTTTGTCAGTTCTGTTTGAATCTTTCATCTTATGCATCTTTTTTATAATGTGATAGGTCCCTCGGGCATCAGCCAGTGCTGTGGCATTTGGCATGGGATTGTTTAGTGGGAAAGGAAGACTTGGACCAGGGCGTCATCGAGCTTTTGCTGTAACCAGTGAAAGCCGTGCAAGTGATACAAAGCTAAGGTTTCATGATTGTTGCCAAAACTACAAGGTATTCTGCCGTCCTGATCTTTTCCTTGATTTTTGAACACGTGCAACACACACAATCTGATTACACTTTCTTAGTTGGTGGAATTGGGTGGAGCTGGACTGGGTTGCCATAACCCCCATTTTTATTGGTTTATCTGCAATTCTGTGCTGTATATGTTGGTTGACGAAGACTTTTATGCTTGTAGGCATTTAAGAAAAGTCAGGAGCCTGCTGTTGATAAGCTTAAGGAACCCGTTTATGATGAAATAACTTCTGGATTAAGAAGGCGCTACAGGTTGAATTTTACAAGGCAGGATACAACTTCTCTTTGGTTTCTGTGCAAACAGGTGATTGCTTTCTTTCTGTTTTCATACACAAAACTCATTTTATTGCTCTCGTGGATTGAGCTTGTGAATTAATTATCCCTGTAGTGCAATTGATTTTATGGTTATCTGTGGTTTGTTCTATTTGGCAGGAAGCGTCCTTGTTGAATATAGTTGATCAAGCTTGTGCACTTTTCAGCCCTTCTGAGGTATGCATAATTTTTTATTGTCAAGATTAACCAAATTTCTTATATTATTCCATGATAATCAGGTTATTCTGTATAACATTTTTCGTTTGAACCTGAATATGATATGTGAACATATATGATTACGCCATGACTCCGATACTGTGAAGACGACTAAAATGACTGAAACTAGTTACATGATGAATACTAGCCTTTTTGGCTTGTAGTTACATCTATGAATGGAGAGGGCACAGCAAGTGAATTGGTGCTGAAATTGAATTACAAAAAAAAAAATTCTTTGAAGAATGCATTAGAGTAATTTGCCCCCTCCCCTTTGATGTGGTTTAGTAATATCAGTAAACACAGATTTACATGATCATAATGTTTTTTGTTAGTTTATTTACATGAAAAAAGTCTCCTGTGTTTAGGTTTCTTTGCTGGAATGGACAGATGATTTGGAGGCCTTTATATTAAAGGGATATGGTAAATCAATAAACTATAGAATGGGTGTGCCCTTACTTGAAGATGTTGTGCAGTCCATGGAGCAGGCTATTAAGGCTGAAGAAGGTAACCCAATACTGTGCAGTTATAACTGGATAATACTGTGTCACTGAGGACTATTAAACCTCATGGATATGTCAGTGTCTATTTGGACTACGCTTAAATGTGGAATTCTTTGCATTATGTAGTTGTGTGTAAGCTATATGACTTCTGGTATTCCAATTCTCACTCACTCTCTCCCCCTCCCCTTTTCTTTGTAGAAAAACATGCTCCTGGTAGTTATGAGAAGGCGAGACTAAGGTTCGCACATGCAGAAACTGTCATTCCATTTTCATGCCTACTTGGACTTTTTCTTGACGGATCTGGTGAGTGATTTCTTCAGTAAATTCTTAATTCGGTTGCATGATCTTGGTTTATGTGCAAGTGGGAATCTAAATGCTCATGTATATGGATTCTTCTATATTCTGTTCTCATAGTACGGGTTATGTTTTCTATGTTTCAGAATTTGAAAAAATACAGAGGGAACAGGCCTTGCCACACCCTCCAAAGCCTCCCCAGAAGAGAAATTGGAGGGGCCATACAGTGGCACCTTTTGGTGGGAATAACATGCTGGTTCTGTACAGTTGTCCAGCCAACACATCAAACAAGCACTTTGTGCAAGTGCTGCACAATGAAAATCCCATTCCAATGCCAGTAAGGCCCCATTCTTTACTTAATTTTAACTTTCTCGAACATTTTCGGATTCCAGATCTTGGTTTCACTTTTGAACTTAGAAGATTTCGTGAGGAACACAATTGGTATCGGATTACAAATTTCTTTTCATACATCTTTTTAGTGGCGAATAATGGCCAGCTGTTTCAGTCGTAATGCGTAGCTCTCTGTTTTTTCCTCGTATTGAATTCTCAGATAATAATGTTTTGGTGTTTAGGGTTGTGATGGTACTGATTTCTGTCCACTTGATGTTTTTAAGGTACTGTTTCTTTCTACCCTACTCTCACATTTAATAGATATGATCATTCAGCTCATTCTCATTTTACCATTTGTGTTTTTTCCAGGAAAGAATTGTTGCCCCTCATTTGAAGCATGACTATAATTCTGTGTGCAATGTAAAACTAGAACAACAGGAGCAGAAGCCTGTTGCTAGTAAGTTATCTCAACTGTTCCGTTGGATGTTCTCACTGGGGAATGGTGATAAAAGTTCCCTCGATGAATTGTAGTTTCTTCTTGTTTTCAAGTGCGGAAGGGATAATTCTTGCACTACCTTGAGTGACTTGGATTCACAGCAGGTCTTTCTTGTGGCAGACCTCTGTTTTGGATTGATTCAATTGCTAATACAGAATCCGTTCGTCTTGTTGCAGTTTGAATTATCTGAGGCTGGCGGTAGAGTTGTGAATTTTGTAACATTGTCATGTTGTAGTTTCGCTTATAACAAAACAGCTTTTCTGCCTTGCTGGGACTGATGTGTTCATGGAGAGATGGATGTCATACACGTATTAACTACTTCTGGAGTAGCTTGCACATTTGTTTTTACTCGTTTTTATTCTAATGGAAAGTATTGACTAAGGGATCAATCAATTTTATTGTCCTTAAAGCATTTTCGATGCCAACCAAAGAAGGAGAGACTCTTAACTTTCTTTTGGGCAAAGATGAAAAAGGAGCAAAGAGTTGGATGATATTTTCTTTCTGCGTGAACCACATCTTTACTTTTCTGTGTTCCAGAGCATTCGTTTTAAACTATGTGGATTTAATATCGGTAAAACATGATCCAAAGTTCATGAAAATTATAGAGCATGTGGGCCAGTCTAGGAGCTTTATACGTGAACTTGAGCCAAAAAGATGTAACAGGTTATTCATGCCAATTTGTTGGATTGGAATCATAAATTGATTTACATACATCTAAGACGTAGTACAAGGCACCTAAGGCTTCAAGCATTCATGCATTGTAATGATGGTGGGACGATCATATTTGCTCCTCGGCAACCTGCAACCAGCAACTTGTACAAAGCTCAGCCAGAGCTACAAATATTTCAAGGAGACTGACAAAGAAAAACTTCTAATGGCACCTACCTTCGAAGTTTCTGAGTTCAAGTTCTCGTCGTTCTTGAACCATGGCACAGCAGCAGCACATGAGGTGAGTGAAGAAGTCATCGCAAGAACTTCCCTGTAAACAAACAGTAAATCTTAGTTAAGATAAATGATAGCAAAACCCTAATCTTCTAGTAGTGAAATAGAACATGAATTATGAATACTTACTTCTATGTTAAAAAGTTTCCGCAATTTCCTTCTTACAAAGCAAGTGTAACAGCAACAGCCA